AAACAGAATAAAGTCCATTATTTAATTCAAGAACTTGAAATCTTTAGATCCTGACTTTGTGGTACGACCCACTGAAGTATCAATATTGGGGATCATTGGACACAGACTTTCCATACAAGGATACTGTGAATTGCTAATAAGAGATAATAATTCTTTATACATACCTGATGAGGTTTTAGTTAGGGAAACAGCACCGTCAATACTGGGTTTAAAAAATTGAAAAAAAACTTAAAGTGCAGTTGGCTTTGCTGATTTCTAAATAAACGTCTGATGCCAAGTACAGTAGAGGTGTGAGAATTCAGCCTATAAAACTTCAAGTACGGAGTGATCCAGTCTTTATTAAAAGACGAATAATTCCTTATGGTCTTCGAGAAGCAGTACATAATGCCTAAAACGATTTGTGTGTGAAAGGTATAATTGAACAGACTCAGGCTTCGTCATCGAGGTACTACTATTTTTACGCCATTGAAGTCGGATGGCAAAACCCCTAGAATATGTGGTGACTATAGATAAACATTGAACTCCTGTTTGTTGAAGCAAACGTGCACCACGGTAGAGGCTGAAGATATTTTAAATCGACTTCATTGTTCCAAAGTGTTCTCGAAAGTGGAATTGAAAGATACTTATCTTCAAATCCCTCTAGATGAACCTTCATCTATTTTGACGACAATTAACACTCATCTTGACCTGTTCAAATACAAAGTCTTTCCATTTGGGCTAAGTGGTTCTCCAGTCATATTTCAGGAAGTTATGAATCAGGTAGTCAGTGATCTTGAAGGTGTTGAAGGTCATCAAGATGATCTAATTGTTCATGGATCTGATAAGGTAGTTCATGGCCAGAGACCTATTGATTTATTACGTCGTTTAATTGAGGAGAATATTACAGTGAATTTAAATAAGTGTTCATTTTGTGTGTTGAGTTCCAAAAGTTTTGGATACCTAGTTGATGGTAATGGTTTGAAAGCAGATACGAAACAGCTAGCTCCACTGACAAATGCACCGTTTCCAAAACATCTTACAGAACTACGTTCACTAATGGGTGCTCTTCAATAATATTCCCATTTTATTCCTAATTCTTCTTGTCGTGTCAATTGTTTATTTGATATTTTGAAAACGAATTCACTTAAATAAGGTGCGGAACAAGAGTCTTGTTTGCGAAGTCTAGTAAAGTTTCTTCGAATCGATGCTGTTCTGCAAACTTACTCATCACACAGTTCAAATCATATACTTATTACTGATGCATCACCTGTGAGTATTAGTACGGTTTTTGAGCAGAAGGCTAAACCAGTTATCTGTGTTTCACGCAAACATACTATTACTGAACAAGGTTATTCACAAACTCAACGAGAAGCATTAGATGTATTTCGAGATGTTAAAAGACTTCACAAATATTTATTCGTAAAGAAATTCGCTATTGTTAGTGAACATGAAGCTTTGGAGTTTATTAACTATCATGAAAGATCCTTAGCATGTTCCTCAGCCGGGACGGTTCAACGATGCTGTAGTGCTGTGAGCGTCAATGACCATACGATTCGGTAGAGAAGTGCTAAACAAATCCAACATATTGACTGTATATCTCGACTAGCACTACATGACAGACCTTACAATACTTCAGACTCTTGTTAAGTGCAACCCATGCCGTTATGACGTCCAGATCTCATTGGAGAAACTCGGTAATACTTTGAATATATACTCAGTGCCATACGGGAATGTTGGAATGCCAATCTTAAGGATAGATTTCCTGTCTATTTTTCAAAGCGGGGTGATCTATCCACTACTCCAGATGGTATTTTGTGTTCAAGTGGTCATGTTGTTATTCATGATTTATTGAGTAAATCTGTCTTCGACGATCTTCATAGTGGCCATTTAGGTGTAGAGAAAATGAATTCATTGACAAGGTTCATATGCTGAGAACTGGCGATAACTGCAGACATATATCGTATAGCAAACAATTTTGTGAAATATCATAAGTTGAAAAGTCAGTTTTCAAAGTGTACTCCATGGCCAGTATTTTTCGAAACCTGACAGAGAATTCATGCAGACCATTGCAGTTCATTTCTTTGCAAATATTATGCACTTACAGTTATTGATTCTTGTTCGAAATTGCCTGAAGTTTTTTGACAACTTCACCAAATTCTGTCTTCACAATCTGAGTATTTTGAAAGGTGTTTAGTCGAGAAGGGGTTTCCATGGTGTTAATGATTGATAATGACTCTCATTTTGCTGCTCATGCAGTCACTACATGATTGAATTGTACAGGGTGCAGACATTTGTTTACTGCACCTAGTCACCCTTATTCTAATGGTCAAGCAGAAACGTTTGTTAGGACATTGAAAGCTCCTATTGATTCTATTGCCACCTCAACACTTAATTAACCAGAGAGGGAACTAGATACATTTCTAATGCACCATAGAAATTCTTAGTAACATCAAACGAATAACATTCCAGCAAAGCTGTTAAGAGGAAGAACTCTTCGTACGAATATGAGGTGTTAAGAGTCTGCAGAAGTTGCACATTATCGTGGAAATGATCTTCGACCAGCGCCGGGGATTATGCTGAAGAATGTCGGGAAATCTACCGTGTGAAGTCTAGACATTATTGATTTCAATACACACAACCGACATGTAGATCAAATACAATTCCAGGAACCGTGTGAGCCTGTTTCAATTTTTGTTGTTAATTTTGGTACTAACGAGTACAATCTAGATAATACAGAGTCTACATCCAGCGCACTGTCGGATAGATATATGATGAACTTAAAAAGAAGACGTACAACCGGTTACAGACACTGAGACTCCAATTTAAGCTATGGCGGATGTGGTGTTTGAATGAACTAAGTATTCCTTCGTACTTGATGACTGACTGATTTCGAATTGCGAATACAATACGTACGTTCGTGCTCACCCAGTTCTTCTTGGTCAAAATAGCGTTATTTCTGAGATTCCAAGTACGTACTATAATTCAAATACTCTTAATTATCATAATAATTCATAGGACCTATGTTCTCTTTACAAGTATGATGTTCAGCACTAGTAGTTCTGTTTTTCTATTGCTTGAAGCCGATCAGTGATGTTTAATTAAATGACATACTACCATGGAATTACATGGATGCTTACTTCAAAATAAGATGAAATGCTGGTGATTTTGTTGGGATCTGAAATATCATTCAAGTACCATCCATCAGTTTGGGTTTCTAATACAACAGCTTCGATTGAAATACATAAGATAATGTAAAATGATAAGGCAAACGTGATAAGATGAGTAACCGTCAACCAATTTTAACAAAATTAAGGGCAATACTAGCATTACTGAAGTTAATAATCACGATACTAATGGCAAATCAATGATGCACACAGATTACCACTCAATCAACTTTTATTAGATAATATTTAACAAACTACTCATTATTAATGAAACATTTATGACCCTCACACTTTATGCTTCACGTCTTCTTAGTGTGAAATTCAATCTAGTAATTTGGTGATCATTGACGTAGAAAGTTGCGTGAATGAGAATCAACCAATGTTGCAACAGCTTAGATAAGCACGATGATAGGAAATCAACAGAATAATGAACGTTGGATGGGAAAAATTAGATCAGTCAGATATGTTATTGCACAAGAATAGATTCAAGAGTTAGAAGCACGAAGTGATACTCATCTAAAGATTTCAAAATATATTAAGAATAAATTCAACCTTACTACTGAGACAGAATTTTGACCATGTCACCAATCGGTTATTGTGCAACTCCAAACGCAACTCAGACTGTTAGGCCAATATTAGCATGTACTAGATTGAGTAGTGTGAACATGTCAGCAGAAGAATAGGTTATGTCCACCAAGTCAATGCTAACCTACTTTGACATCTTTTGTTCATGTCGACACTAAAACGTTTTTGACCTTATAAGCAGTGTTAGTGCGTCCTTAACTTGAATACTTCATATAAGTATCAGAAGGGGTTTGTGGAGATCTTAGAAATTTTCACAGATTTAAATCATGAGTCAGTTGGATCGTGGATGCGCACTGCTGAGGAGTCCCATACTAGGACGAAACGGCCGTCCAGTGCTTCCAGGTTTTCAATGGTGGTCTAGCTTCAACTGACTCATGATTTAAATCTGTGAAAACTTCATATAAGTGTCTAGCCTCTTCTTAAAAAAAGACAGTGAGCTTTTGGAAAAGTCCGAGAGAACAGTAATTAAGCCGATTTCAAAAATAGCGATGCTCCCATATAATACTCGACTGGCCAAACTAAACCTATTTCCACTGTCATCTCGAAGAACTGGATGTAACTTGATTACAGCTTTCAAATCACTTAGTGATAAATTCGCTCTTGCTTTCCAAAACAGAGAATTTACGAAGAAACTCCAAGAATGTTCACAAGCACAGAACAAATTACCCGTCAGGTGACTATCAACTTTCCCATCGAATTATCAGCGTGTGGAATTCATTACACGTGATTCACATGCTAACCCACAACCCTGATAAAGCATATAACCCATCGGATGACGTAACCACGTCACTGACAAAATGATTGTGTCAATGTAAAGACCTTACAGGTACTCCATATTCACAAGATTCTCGCCTTGAGTCCCAAACAATTTGAGATTTATCTCGAGAAGCTGAAACAAGAAGATCCGGTTGGGTAGCATTAGTCGCTATCTGTGTGACCCACCCACAGTATCCAGACTGTCCCGAAACACCAACTGTTCATCCATACGTGAAACAACGTGACGAGTAAAAACTCTTTCAGAAGAAAGTTAGATCAATTGAGAGACCACCACTGTCATGGCTATTACAGGTCATTTTGCCTTGTGTGCTTTCCATACTGAAACTGAATCTATGAACAAGATATACCTGAATCAACCTATTGAGAATCACGATAAATTGACGAAAATTAACAAGATCATCTGAGGAGATGTAGAATAACATCGTGAGATTGATGGATGTCGTGTACCATTTTGTCTCCACTGTCTTTTTAGTAGTTCACACAACTACATATGGCCTTCGCAGTCTTCCAAACTCATGACCTTGGAGGACAGATGCGGTTGCTATGTCCTTGCGAGTCATATTTACAATGCGTTAGGATCCATGGTAACCTTGTAATTTCATATTCTGCGTATAGTTTGAAGATCATCGTCTGATCCATGTTAGTCCCAGAATAGTGAATAAACTAGTAGATTTCATACGTTATGGACCGGAGAATATGCAAGTAAGAAATCTCTGTAAATATTAATGTGAGGTTGTTTGTGATTTTGATCACACATTGTCCAAATACATTCACAATTCTGAGAAGGTTCCTGTTTGTCATGGTAATTCTTGTTTGTTTGAGATAATACAGTAAACATTGAAGAATTGTTCATGAAAAATCCCAGAATTCCTGAGATATCTAGATTACGGGTAAGTAGGTCGTCAATTTTTATTTTCCCAGCTCAAGGAGCTTCTGGACCTTTACTTACCGCTTGAAACGTCTTGCGGCATATATGAGTGCGAGAAGTTGTCACTCATGATGGAATTTTGGAAATTGGCCCATAAAGCATTGGTTGACGGGAATGTATCTCGAAGTGATATTGATGGTTGTGTTTTGGAAGGTGGAATAGTTCTAAGGTTGGTCCTGGCTTTTAACGTGTTTTTATCACTATTTCAACTGTGGGATGCAAGTGTGTGCTCGTAGGAGTAGGTTTCGACACTACGTACGCGTAAACATATAAGACATTTAAAAACTTAGAATTAACAAATAGATTAGTCACTTGATAATTAACGTATCCACTCTGCATTTGGTCAAGTGCTTTTTAAAAAAGGATTTCTTCATTCTCAGTAGATTGGTACATCCACTGAGAATGAAACACTTGTTATAGTAATTAATACAATATCTTCCGAGAACTGATCGTATGAACCGAAATCTGCTTATGCACATTTGTAATCACTATAGTAGTGGTAGTAGTACATCCGTTGTTTGTTGACTTCAGATAGTGGCTGTGTTTATGAATGAGCAGTTCTAAGTAGCGTAAAGAACTAAAACACTTTTACCAACGATATTTGGTTAAAATGGTTTGCATCACTGTCATATTTTGCGCTCTTGCCCTACATCAGAGTTCTGTAGTAGACATTGTATACACTTAACTCAGCGTTCAATAGATTTCCAAAAGTAGTCATTTAATCGACAACAAAAAAATAACCTGAACAAGAACGATGAAATTTAGTTAGTCAGCTCTTAACCAATGTTTGTTAACGAGTAACTGGACCTTATCTCTATCTACCTTAATTATGTCACATGTAGCTTTATTCTGACAAAAGTTAATATGTATGCTTTAACATCACAACTAAGTATCTAGTTATTCCCATGTTACATACACACTGACGTTTAAAAGCACTTCAATTTGTACTGTTACTTTTATTTTAATACACAAAATGAATGACCTATCTTTAGTTATAGGAAAGTGTTGGATTTATCAAATATTGAATAGTAATAACAGAAAGGTACACATACACACATTTACTCTTTTTCACATTTATAACTTTCCACATTATTCAAATCTTACTGATTCATATTTTCCTACCGAACAAAATGAATGTCTTGATAAATTGTTAGTTTAGGTTTGGTTGTCAGACGTTATATTTTTTTTGATAATTTTGATATTAATTATTACCGTGACGACGTTCAGGTAAGGTTTCTGGACATAATGCTGGGATTATTTAATTTTTAGATTCTTAGATTATTTCAAATATAATTTCTACAAATAATATATTTTATATACTTGGCGTTCAATTTCTATCAAACTGTTCGTTCAGATATTGACGGATATTTGTATAAGTCATCTAAGTTGCCTAAATTCATAAAAACAAGGTGCTGCATTAGTTAATGTAATTTCTTAATGACACATATGACTAAAAGTAATTAAGGTCTTACAAACAGTTTAACAATAGCTTGAATGAAATAAAATATGAACATAAAGGTGTCGTCTAAGTTGTCACGAAAGTCAGTTGTGCATCTATATTTTTTAAGTGCTCATAAGAATTTATATATAGTACGCAACTCACCAGATATTTCTGACCTCTATTCACTTGACTAAAACGTTTACTAGCACGTATATTGAGTGGGCTTTCAAAAGTATTATTTCTCAAGATAAAAGTCAGTACCCGCTCCATTCGTTGCGTCTTGCTGTAATAGTTCGCTCATATACTCTTTCCTTGCATCTGCACGCCCCTCCCAATAAAAAAGACTTATTTATTCACATAAATACTACTTTTTTCTTGGTTGACATAATTAAACTCTGTCAAATTTCTCCTTGATCCTAAAGAGCTAGAAGATTAAAGCCAGATACTGTGTTCGAATTCTCATGGATTTTCTTTGTCACAAAAGTAAAGATAACTATTTTACATTCCAAGCATTTGTGACTTACTGTATTCTGACTAGTAGTATCTTAAAAACGTTGGCTATAGTATTTAACATTCATACGGTAGCTATAAATCTCTGTTTTAAGCACAAACATGTATGGGGTTTTATTTATGTCAGTCTTGATTGAAACATTTATCAAAAAGCCTCAGAATATTGTACCGAAGTCGTTGATCCATTTGAGTTGTCGATGAACTAAGAAGCTGCCAATTTAAAAACTGACCTAAACGTTAATTAAGTTGGTATTTTTTATCTAAGAAATGCATTTATTTTAGTCCGTTTTGGGATTTATTCGGTTTGATGTTAAAAAGTAACCCTTTAAACGTACAGTACGTACCTATCCTTTTATGTTGACAATAAATCTGTTAACTTGTGCACGTACATCGAGGAATCGCTTACATAGTTGACACATTGCAATGTTGTACTACGAATAATTTAGTTACAGTATTCTTCACAGTAACTGACATTGTTTGATTCAAAGTAACGTACAGAATTAAAATCTAACTTAGAAGATATCGGTATTAATTTCAGAGAACATCTTGATCGTGTAAATATAAAGAGTAGCTTGCTGCTTCATTTTTCTTATCAACCTTTAAACCAAAGTAATAGTACACTGAAAGTATATTTATAGTCTTACAAAAACATACTTTTCTATCCACATCAATTTCGCGTTCAAATAAATCAGTTAACAGTCCATCTGCTTAGGTTGCTGTACTGCAAGGTAAAAATAGAAACAGAATAATTGAAAAGAGTAATTGCAACTTAAAATCAACTACAAATATGACATACAATGGCGAAAAGTGAATAAATTCGGAAGACTAAAATGTTTGTCCGTTGGGTTAGAATATCGCGAAACTCTATTTGTGTGATCTTGGTTATCTTAAAGCAAGTTCTGAGATAAATTTTAATTTTGGAATTCGGTATGTCAGTATACTGATAGTTGATTTTCATACCCCACTAGATTGTTAATTAAGCTTTACTAAAAATATGATGTTCTCTGTGCACACATTTCACTACTGGTTAGATTTACAACTTAATATTTAGAGATACTCTTTAGTCAATTAAGGCGTCATTTCATTATCTAATTGAACATTTTCATTCGATGGTATGTTTAAGAACTATGATGTTTTGGTTTGTGGAATTGTTCTCAAACAAATCGCGAAATAACTACTTTCTCAAACATACAATATCACGTTTTTTAGTTAATTTATTCGTTGTTCGGTTTTCCAAGTTTTAAATCATCCAGACGTTGACTAGTATATTAAAGTTCAGGTAGCTTTCAATTTGATTATTCTTAAATTTGCTTATTTATGTATTCTTTAAATTTCATTCTTTTGTCCAATTTTAACCGCAACACTAATTTTAGGAATAATGCAACTGATTTTGTAAATAAGTTGGCTCAACTCAACATACCACTAATTGTATTCTCTGGAGGCATAGGAAATGTTATAGAAACAGTCCTGACATCGTCAGGTGTATCCTTGGAAAATGTTCGTGTTGTTTCAAATTTTATGGACTTCAATCCTGAAGTAAGGAATAATATTCTTTTGATAGGTTTCATAATTAGTATTATCTGATTACCCCTTGATAATCTAACACAATTGGCTGGTGAAAGAACTTGAAGCTATCTGGGTATATAAGGGTTTAGTTACCTCTCTACTTATTTAGACAATCGTAGATATACAGCGTGTTTTATTAATCTCCAATACATATTTTATTTATTTATTTGAACACATAAATATTGGTACAAGTATGCGCCAAATATATATGCGCCATACAAAACAATGAGAATTTAAGGGGCAGGAAAGAAAAAAAGAGATTGATGTAAGGTGGTGTAATAATAATAATAATGGTAAAAATGGCGGAACAGACAGGTACAGTCAGAAGAAATCTTTCAGTTAAGGGAGACAACTTTTTATAAAGAAAGTAAAAGGTTACAGCAGGATCGCTATTGGTTTCTATTCTGAGCCATATCTGATAACATCTCTAGCCACTGTGTAGCACCATCTCTCGGACCCCAGCCAGGGAGTCGTGAAGGACCAACGGAAGCCAGTCCTTTGCAGCTTTCTTTCATCCCACGACACCATGTCATGCACTGACCACCTCTCCGCTTCTTCCAACCAGTCCCAGAGTCGGCAAATAATGCACGACGTGAAATTCTCTGGGACGACATTCGTAGAACATGTTCTGGCCACCGAAGTCGGTGTTTCAAGATGGTGGCACCAATTGCATTATCATCTCTGTGCCCGAACACACGATGCCGAACCTCTGCATTACTAACATGGTGTTGCCACTGGATGTCAGCAAGCCTTCGGAGACAGCGATGATCAAACACAGAGAGTCGTCTAACATCCTCGACTCGGAGAGGCCAGGTTTAACAAACATGGAGCAAAACTGCTCTCACCGACGCGTTGTAGATCTGACCTTTTACAGACAGACTGACATCATGAAGGCGCCAAAGATGGGCCGCTCTGGCTTTCACTATACGTGCATTGATCTCATCACTCACACCCCCACCTGCACTTATGCAGCTACCCAGATACACGATCTTCTCTACTACTTCTATCTGCTCACCATCCAGAGTGAGTACAGGATTAGAATCCTGCCAGTCTTGTAGAGATACTTTGCACTTCGAGGGTGCAAAGCATATACCATACGTACGGACATTGATTGCCAACTGATTGAGTGCGTATTGCATGTCTTGGGCATTATCTCACAGTAAGAAAATATCATCCGCATACTCAAGGTCGAGAAGTTTTTCTCCAGGCAACAGATCCACACGACCATTACTTACATCCATCAGAGCTGTTTCCAGAATGTCATCGATGGCAAAGTTGAAGAGGAATGGTGAGATTGAGCAATCCTGCCTAACCCCACTGCTCGTATGGAACAATGGAGAAAGGTGGTTGTATGCCCTCACTCTGCCTGAGGTGTGTGTATATAGGGCTTTCAGGATGTTAATAAACTTCTCAGACACACCCTTCTTCAATAGACGATCCCAGAGAACAGTCCTATCCAACGAATCTAAGGCAGCCCTGATGTCAAGAAACGCTACGATTGTTAGCCTTTGATAAGTATAGCGGTGTTCTAACGCGATCAAGAAGTCCTTGTAAGGCGTAGGAATTGTATTCTACAGGCAAACAGCAGATACCAGGTCAGGTCAAGCACACAAGTCAAGCGTATTTATACAAATATTTACAATCGATATTGTCATAGTAAAATGTTTTTTTAAACATTAATCAATAAGTTCATCAATCAGTCGACACCCGACCGTTGTTGCTACCTTGACGCGGTGGTCGGGCTTGCCTATCGTGATGACCCAACCGAGCTATATTGGCTGGAACATATGTTCCTGTAGGTTCTATCATGCCAGGAAGGTCGATTGGAGAACGGTAAGACTAAAAGCAGCAACTCAAGGTCTGAGGGCGACGTCCTACTGCTGATTGTAGAGGGATGTGACAGCACTAAGGTGTTCTCCTCGGACAACCAGCATCTGCAGCGATGCTGCCTTCCCACAAGGAGGGGTGGGATTAAAAACGGTCGACTCTAAAAATGTCACACCTCACCTTACCTCACGGATTTCCGTCTCCGGCGGTAAGGCCCTTTGAAGAACGGAGCTAACTCATTAAAAACCTTCCACAAAAAGGCCGTGCGCGACCGGGCTCAAGCAGTTGTCCCTTGGGCTCTGCAGTCACGCTCCCAGGTCGTTAGGACCAACACTAATCCAATTTCCTTTTCAGGTTCCTCAAGAAATACCCTTTCACGGTGTGGGCAGCCGGGAAGTGACACCAGCCCTCATACCCGTAACAGCACACGAGACCAAGTTGGTCACATTCAAATCCTTCCTACACCTCTTAATACCACTCTTATCTCCCCGACTAACCCTTCTCACGTCCTTTTTTCACCTCGCACCGCTAGTGCAAACGATTCGAGTACGCGGAACGCTATTCCTGGTCTCCTGAAACCACGCTCTAAACTAAACATTTAGGAACTTTTAACGTCCGAACACTGTGCCAAATAAAACAACAGGCTTCCTTAGCTAGGAATTTAGAATCCCGCGCCACCGATGTGTGCTGCGTCTCCGAAACGCGCATACAGGATCCGAGTAGCGTCATTCATCTGACCTCACCATGCCAAAATAAAGAACCGACTCGATTCACACTTCGTGTATCTGGAAGCCCTGATTCGGCTTCCCGTGGCCTCGCCGGCGTAGGCATAGCACTGAGTCCTAGGGCAGAACTAGCTCTCTTAGAGTGGATCCCAGTAGGCAGTCGTTTGTGCGCTGTCCGACTAAACGGAACAGTAAGGATCCGGAAAGATAGGGACACTCGTCGTTGCCTCTTCGTCGTCTCTGCCTATTCTCCCACTGACTGCATCTCAGATGATGTAAAAGATGAGTTTTACAGAAAGCGCTCCGACCTTCTCCGAAAAGCTAGGCGCTCAGACGTAGTAATAATGGCCGGTGACTTTAATGTTCAAGTAGGTATACTAAGCGATAGGGAAGGACACCTGGGTGGATCTTATAGCATCGTGGCTCGAAGAACAGATAGTGGCGGCCGTCTGTTGCAACTAAGCTCAGATAACCGTCTGTTCCTCGCAAATACTAACTTTAGGAATAAGAAAGAACATCCTTTAACATGGTGACCCCCTTATTCGTCCCAACGTTGGACCCAAATAGATCACATCGCTATCAGCCACCGATGGAGGGGCTCTATAGAAGACTGTCGCTCGTTCTGGGGCACATGCTTAGATTCAGGTCATGCTCTAGTACGAGCGCGTATTTGCCTGCGTCTTACTGGACGTAGGAAAGACTGCAAGGAAACCTCTTAGGGCCCTACTCAATGATAGTCAAGCTAAGAGTATATTTCAGGAACAACTAGGAAAACAGTTAGGAAGCCATGTATGTGATGCCTACCCCGAGGCAGCATGGAATGATATCCGTAAAGCTGTGGAAACAGCAGTGATATCTGCTAGTACGGTAACCCGTAAGGTTAGGGAGCGACACTGGATCTCAGCAGCTTCTATCGCATTAATAGATGCTCGGAAACTCATTCCACCTGGCTTTGAACATAATGAAGAGCGGAGTCAGCTTAAGCGCAAGGTGACAAGAAGTCTACGCAATGATCGTGAACAGTGGTGGGTAGCGAAAGCAAGAGAGATGGAAAAGGCAGCGGCAATAGGTAATAGCAGACGATTGTTCAGACTTGTTAAGGAAACCGGGATTAGGAAACCGACTGTTAGCGAAACACTCTCGGAGAAAGATGGACATATTATACATTCTCAATCCAGGATATTGGATCGATGGGCAGAACACTTTAGGGATCAGTTCAACTGGCCTTCAGCCACACTTCGGTTTCCCACGATCTCCAGTCAACCTAAATGGCAAGTTAATGTAGGTCCTCCGTCTCTCTACGAAGTTGAAAAAGCCATAGGAAATCTGAAGCGAGGGAGAGCAGCAGGCCCTGACAGGTTTACTCCTGAGATTTTTAAGGATGGTGGTTCAATATTAGCAGTGAGATTAACTGAGGTCTTAGGTAGAATTTGGGAACTGAACGTAATCCCATCTGACTGGTCTCAATCACTGATTGTGCCAGTCTATAAGAAAGGACAAAAGTCCTCTTGTGACAATCACAGAGGAATCAGTTTGACTAATATAGTGTCTAAAATATTAGCTTCCATAATATTTCGACGCCTAATCAAAGCTCGTGAAGAGCAAACTAGAGAAAACCAGGCCGGTTTTCGACCTGGACGTGGTTGTATAGACCAAATATTCACGCTGCGTCAGGTTCTAGAACACAGACACATGTTTAGACGCCCCACAATGGTAGTATTTCTCGACCTTGAGGCGGCATTCGACTCTGTTGACCGTGAGGTTCTATGGCAGTGTTTATCACTGAAAGGAGTACCAAAGAAGTACATTAACCTTATAAAGGCTCTCTACTCGAACACAACTGGTAGAGTGAGAGCTTATGGGGAACTGTCATCAGAATTGATTAGCTCAAGTGGTGTTCGTCAGGGCTGTCCACTCTCTCCTTTCTTGTTTAACTTTATCGTTGACGTACTTTTAGAGATAACACTTTCCTCATCTAAATTTCCAGGGGTTGTACTTCTACCGGGAGGTTCACTTGTTAACTTAGAGTATACTGATGACATAGTTTTATTTGGCGAGGACGCTGACAAAATGCAGAGTCTTCTGACCACTCTAAGCAACAATGCAAGCATGTTCGGGATGCGATTCTCTCCCTCGAAATGCAAAATGTTGCTTCAGGATTGGGTTGCATCGACACCCGAACTAGTGATAGGGAGTGAAGTAGTTGAGTGTGTCGACTGCTTCACTTATCTTGGAAGTCTCATCAGCCCTTGTGGTTTGGTGTGTGACGAAATCTCAGCATGGATACAGAAGGCTCGACTAGCTTTTACGAACATGCGTCATTTATGGCGTAGGCGAGATATCCGTCTATCAACCAAAGGACGTGTTTACTGCACAGCAGTTCGTCCCGTCCTACTTTATGTCAGTGAAGCATGGCCGGTAAGAGTTGAGGATATTCGTAGGCTACTAGTATTTGATCATAGGTGTCGTCGAAATATTGCTCGTATATCATGGAGCCATCGAGTAAGTAATGCAGTTGTTAGGAAACGGGTACGTACGAAGTTCTACTTTGTTACAGACTGACTGACTGACTCATCAATCGACAGGCATTCAAAGATTTAACAGTTAGTCCATAAGATGAAATTACAAATGTGAGTTTTAGGGATCTATCGTCCCCAACAGTTTAAGAGATTATTATCAAGAGGAGAAGCTGCGTGAATAAAGGATTAGATAGTGGACGAACTGTTTCTTGGAACAATCTAAACAGTTCTTACTGGTTTCTCACTTATTTTATCCTTCAAATGTTCGGATTCTGTCAATAGATGCTCCTCTGTTTTTAAGGCCAGCTAGTTATCGGGTGATTTATTCGCTAATCGAAATACGACTTATTCAATATTAGTACTGTTCTAGACCAATGACGTTCGACCGGCATGAACAGTCTAGCGTCTTTATTGGTCCTTTGTTCGCCTAGCCCGTCCAGTTGACTCCAGAACGTCACTAATGACTTCCACTGTGCAGAGCGTTTATTCAAAACACACTTGGTTTATATACCAGCGAAACAGACCTCATCACACCATAAAATAGGAAATAACATTTATACAAGATCAAGCTAAAGAGTGACTGTGAACATGGGAGACTGTAATCAATGAACTAAACATAACTTAAGAACAGTAAATCGTATAATAATGATATATAGGTCAAAATGAAACTTATAATTAGAGGAATATAGATATACATAATCTAGCTACTGAACAGTTATACAATAGGAATATATATAATATTAGTCAATTAATAGTTCTCAGAAGTTACCCGTAATTTAATCTTCACTAGGATATAACAAATGCTAAGTATTCTAATGACACAAAGTACTAATGCAGTTATCCTGGCCCCCAACTTCTGTAAACAGTTGGACTTGATTACCTAGGATTGGTTAGAGTTTCTTTATCTTACTCAACAATCACATCCCACATCTGCCCCCAAATGCCCTGGTACGACCGAAATGCTCTCACATAGCCACGTGCATACAACCACTGCCAGTAAAGTCCTACTCACTGCCTTCTCGCGGCGGGGGTATTGTTTACGAAATTTAGAGGACGAAGAGTGAGTGTCTGGCGCTTTAACCGGGTTGGTGGACACGGAGGGTTCACCTTGAGTTGGAAAACCCTGATTCCAAACCAGTGGTGCACATGAGTTTCAGTATCCTAAGGGAACAAATAGCGTATGAACCAATCGTTGGTCACCGACTACTATGCGACTGCATCTCCTTACGTTGCTCCACTACTTTGTGAATTAGACCTTTAGGTCGAAGGCTCCGGGTGTGGCCCTCTAAAAAACCACCTGCTTCGGTTTGGACATCTGGGCATTATCCTAGCCCTCACGCAAATCGAATGATTTGTGTGGCGCATATCTATTTGGTGTCTTCTTGTACCTATGTTTATGTGTTTAAACAAATAATAAATACATCCTACATCTGTAGAAAAAAGAGCACTACATTAGACTCCTTCAGTAACAGCTGAAATTTCCAGGCTTGAAAGCCACCACACCAATGCCACTTTGAGAAACTGGGCAGGATCATTAACTCTCACATTTGAAGCGTAGCTCCTACCCTGATTTTCTGAATCCGTTACATTTATTCGAGGTCTAGTCCATTTGACCGACTGCAGTAAAATAAGTTAGGTTTTACCATACCTTGCTGTCTTAGTAATATCCAGTTTGTAGATTTGAACTCGTCATAAAGTACTGTTATCTAATTAACAAGTGTAGCTAGCACGTAGGAATTCTTGCCCCGGATATCTTGACGTTTTTAAACCACAACTTTTCTTGTTAACATACATGTTTTAAACTTTATTTGCATAGTAATTGTTTTCGAAAATGATGATTTATTACTCTTGTACTTAAACTGTACATCATTGTAACTTTTATGTACACGACCATGTTACTGGAGTGATGTTATAGTTACAAACAACAATAAGTGTTGTGATTACAACAAACTTTTCTTATAGTTAAAATTTCTACGGGGTTTTAGATCCCTAATACATCGTTGATTCAAAATTTGTCTCTTTTCATACTAGCGATTCAATCCTTATTTTTATAAACTGTACAGGAACCTTTTTTTCCATATTTTCCATATTTTGCATATTTTTAAAGTAGTATTGTCGTTTTGATGTCCTCTTTTACTATTTAATAATTTATATATTTTAGTCTCTATGAATTACATCGTCTTTTAATGTTAAGATACCTGTAAATGTATTGTTTTAGGGTCGTTTGGTTGGATTTCAAGATCCTGTTATTCATTCTCTTAATAAAATGTATAATGTAATACAAAATTCTGAATATTTTGAAACCATTCTGTCGAAAAGAATTTGCATTCTTCTTATTGGTGACTCAACTAATGATGCAAAGATGATTGATGATGGGGAAAAGTTTTCTTATGAAAAAGTTATAGTTATTCGTATAGGATTTTTAAATGAAAAAGTAAGTATTTTTAGGCTCAATATCCTTTTACAAATGGAATCTATTCTTTTGTAAATTTCTTGTGAACGTGGATTTCAGCTATTGATATTAAAACTGTCTGTATCTATAATTTGAGAGAAGTAGTAAAAAAACGTTTGACTTAATTTCATAGGATTGTTGAAGTTCATATGTAAGATATCTTCAAAACTTCAGTAATTTGAGATATGTTCCACTGATACATTGTATTGATGATTCGAGACTGTAGTTAAAACAATGTTCAGTTTTCAACTAATTTGGTGTTAAATCAAACATGAATAGAGACTTATTACTTTCAGGTGAGGTGTTTTTACTCAAGGCTCATGAAATAATGAAAATAAAAATGAAATATTAACTTGAAATTAATCTCTCTATATATTTAAATTCAATAAAATTAACTAATAATCCTGATGTTACTCAAGTGACTTTCTAATTTGTATTCAATGGTTAAGAAGGTGTAAATATAACCAGAATATGCGAAAGAATTCTATCTTGTGTAACATAGTGTGTTCAAGTCATGTTTAATTCTTTTTGACTTTTTAAAACAGCCTTTGATAAAATAGTTATTGTTATTACAGGGTGGTAAGCATTTATAGTTTACTTTGGAGATATTTTTATAGTAGCTACATAATTTCTCATTTGAAGACATATGGTTCAATGATTTAAGCATTTGAATTTAAGGAGGTTAATACTTATCTTTTACCGTCACATGATATGTGACAAACTTGTACTTATCCATTATTACTGATTTTTGCACTGATATTATCGTGGTGTAAGTCATTTATACTAAGAAGCTTCTCGATACTGTTATCGGCATTGTTCTTTAAAACTCACAAATCTTTATATGTTGCTTTTTAATCAAGTAAGTTTGTTACTTAACAATCTGGTCGTCTTATTATGAACAAATATTTTGGGAACACGGGATTTCTAATTTGTCTATTACATAAAATATTGATTATGAGAACTCTTTAATATCACTATCTATTTAATTTATTTTCATTATAAGACTGAATATTGTTTTGTGTTCTAACAGTGTAGTTCAGTGACTAGTACACGTTTCCTAATACTTATTCAACCAGATATGCAGAGCATAAGGCGAAGAGTTGGATCTATCACAGTGTTAACAATACGGTAATTCTAAGGCGTAGCATGGATTTTATGTCTTGTTTTCTTATCGATTTTGAGTTAAAGTTCACATAGATTCCTATTGTTATTTATAGTAATAGTGTTTGTAATTAAAAGCATTATATTCCATATAGAACTCTTCCGTTGAATGTGCTTTTAGTTCGTTAAGCGGTAGTGCCCTTTACACATTTCAAAATAAAGCATTCACTCCATGTAAATTAGTCACTAGTAATCGGCAGAGTTTACTATGATATATATACTGTAGTTGAACTGAGTCGAAAATATAACTATTTGGGCTTCCTGATGTTAGTAAACCATTACCTTAGAATGCGCACATCTCTTTAAATTAAAGGATAAAATTTTAATTTATTTAATGTATTCTATGTGAATGACTAATTTTTTTCCATCCATTCTTTGTATATTATGGATTATTCAATTTACTATTTATTTGTGTTCACAGAATGACGAGAAAATGGAATTATTCCGTTCATTATACGATCTGGTTCTTTTGAATGACGAGACATTTGATATTCCTTTGTTCATTTTATCATCTATCGTTGATTCTATTGAACTATGTAAACATGAGAGCAACAATGAGACCGCAAATATCTGACAATAATACTTTTAAAGAGATGGGTTTTTTTGATAAAAATTGTATTCTAATTATAATAAAGTATTTAAATCCTTGTTTGGTTTTTAAGAAAAAGGTGTTATTTGGTGAAGTGGCAGTACCAAGGCATTCAAATTCATAAAATTGATGCTCGGGTAGTTGTTCAAGGGAAATATAAAGTGTTCTGCTAATAATTTTCCACTAACTAAGAAAAAGACTCGTAATTTATTAGTTTCATTGTTTGAATTAATGGATGACTAATTGAATTTCCAGTAGTGAACATAACATAGATTCGAGTATATTCTATTTCAACAGCCTGAAGTAAAACAAATCGTGTACCTTCATCAAATAATCTGACTATTCACTATGAAATATTTTCTTTAACTTGGAGATATTCGAAGAAAGTTCATCAATATTCATTGTTGACCATGGAGAAAAATATGACAAATTCTACTGAAAATCGTAATTCCTATACTTCATGATTTTCTATTTCTAACCATTTCATACGAGAATTCTGATTGATTTCTTTAAACAACACAATGTATATGAATCACTTAATTTATTTAACTCATCCCTTGTACAAGACTTGGTATGGTGTTATTTATAACCACATAAAAGACTTCTAAACATTTAAGTAATAAGGTTTCGGTGTACGATTTTTCTAGTGAACTTTCAATGAAATATTTCGTTTACATCATTAATCATAGAATATATCTTTTCCGTTGTTATCAATATACGAAACACTGTCCTTTACAAAAGTCTTAATTTTTGTCAATCGTTTTTTGCATTAATTCCATCAGAGATAAATGTCGTGAATGGATAGTTGAAATTTTTGAAGTTTCATATTATTTTATTGTTGTTGGATAATCTTTGTTGTTTGATTATATTTTCCTTGAAAAAGCTTGAACCAGATTGCCAGGCGAAACGTTAAAATTCATTCGCTGAGATTTTACAAATATATTCTTCTTTTTAATGTCTCAAATGAACTCGGCGCCCAAATATTGTGAAACTATTCGTTCAAATTTAGACGAAAGTTCTTATTTATTGTTGAATAATCTGTTTGAAAACTTGATAAAATTTAATGTCATTTTAAAGAAGCAATATGTGAAGACCACATATACACTGAGATTTTTATAAATTCTGGTCTACTATTTGTTTAATAAATTTATTTTGTTTTGTTTTATGATTCATTGGAAAATGCCAAGTTTTAAATCATATTTATTACCGTTGCATCTCTTCACTGTAATCTGTTCATAGACATCCTGTAATTGACGATGGCTTTTGTCATGTTTTCAATACCACTCCATAGTATATACCTTTATTGATAGTGCAGTTCATCTCATTGGTCGTAGATATTGGTATTGTGAAATCGTGAGCAATCATTTCTGACGTATTAGTTGAAGGATCACTTCCAAATTATCTTTCTTTTATTTGGCGTAATCATTTACCGTATGGTATTTGTTCGTTAATAAATGGGAATTATGTTCTACATTATTGATGTCCCGAGAAATCGCTTAATTCAACCGGTAATATCGTATTTCATTATTGAAGACTAAACGAAATATATTAGTCAAGTGATACTATGTAATCCCAATTATAAAATGTAACTGTGTTCAATAGTACGTTTTCTATAAAATATAAGTCTACCTAAATAACTCGAAGATATGTTTTATAACAGCAGGGACGAATAATACTATTCTAAACCTAGGAGGAAACATCTGTTCTCTCCGCCTTGTATATAACTGCCACCGGAATCTGGAGTTTCCAATCCACCAAATTTTACAGTCCAACTGCAAGTTCTAGTTTTTACCCACTTATATAAATTCTCCACGTCCCTGAACTTACACTTTATTTCACTGGTTATTTAATCTGTTAAGTTTCAAGGTCAAGTAAGTACTATATAAACCATTTCGAAGGAACTCGTATATGCTTTCCGTCGTATTCTAGTTATACGAATAGTGAAACACGTATTTTTTACCCAGTTCGCTTATTTGAATAACTAAGTAATGCGGTATAGTGTATTTAGGAAAATAACTGATATCACGGTTATCAGTCTGTTTAAAAAATACGTAGGATGTTTCTAGTGCTGTAAAATTATGCTGATACACATAATAAACTTTCAACTTACAATTTGATTTTTTTAAAGGCCCCACAATACCTTTAAGAAAGCAGGTATTATTCTACCTTAGTCTTAAATCCATCCTAAATATTTACTGAGATAGTAGTATGCTTATGACAAATGTTGAAATATAGTTGTTTGGTGAACCGTATTTCCAGCACAATTTATTATGTTTAGGCACATCATAAAATAACATCCAGTTAAAATTTGTTTGGTATCTTATCGTACGGAACCAAACATCAGTCTGGTCACAAATAAGTTGTTATTAGTTCAATTCTGCTTTTCAAAATATAGCGCTCTATGTAGTTTCTCCCATATTTTTCTTCTAATCCTGTTTGCAAAGATTCAGAAGCGTGGATACTGACTGAACCGACCCTCAGACTGTAACATTAGTAATGTTAAGCTGAATTTGATTCATAGTCAAAGATATCTCGCTCAAAATGAAATGAGAATGCCATATGAATTAAAGAAATAAAAGGTTTCACATTCAAATTTAGAACTGTATAAACAATTTTTAAGGCAAACGATGTTCACAAGCTAGTGACTGAACAATTACTCGTAACTAGAGGAATTTCGCAGCTGTAAATTATGATATTCAATGGTGAGTTGTAGAAAAGCAGGTTTTGGTTGTCTATCGTTATTAATTAGAGCCAGTGAGACATGTTTTATATATTGTGAATCGTTAAATATCTATATATTTCGAGGCAAAAGTGAATGAGAAGTCACAATTTTATGCACAATATAATACTAGTACGTAGAGCCAGTGAATAGTGGTTTGATTCATTTGCGCAACTCTAAATTACTTGGTCTTGACATGTGTTTGGAATCAGTGGTTAGTGTTATTAGTTGAGAAAAGTTACAATAAATCACAGTGATATAAATACATTTGATCCATCTCTGAATACTGAGTGTTTTGTATTTTCATGCTCTCATTTTCTCTCTTCGCTGATTTTTTGAACTCATTTTAATATTTTGTTTTATTTCTGACAATTTGAACATTTACATTATAATGTTGAACTTAAAACCTTTCAATTTGTTTCTCTTTATTGCGATCTGCGACTAAGCGCTTAATGAATACGTCATATCAAGCTCGATGGCTTTGTTGGCCACAGTAATCCAGTAATAATTAGCTGACGAGTTTATGGATGAAAGTAAATTAGAGTAAATTATATTATGTTTATAGTGTAGTCAAAATGATAGTAATATCTGAAGCTCAAGAAAAATACCAATCTCTGTATTTTGATGAAAGTACTCTGATGTTCATTCAGTTTTTCTACTGACTTCAGTATCTAATCCTTATCTTAAGATCAAGAGATTTTGCCAATTGCATGATTTATCCAGTCGTCACTTCAGCTAACTTTTACTACGTTGATGAAATGGTAATAACTGACATCTTTGTTGAGTATGGGACAATAATACACAGTATCTAGCTAGATTCTCATTAATATGAATAGTAAATTAGTTTTATCTGTGTATTGTTGCTATATGTATGCCAGTTTGTAATAAATTAATATCGAATAGTGAATGATAAGTTGTTAAATATTGAAGTATTCATGAAACTTTTTAATTTAAAAATATAAATTGTATTAACTATGCGATGATATATTTGTACTAAAGAGTATCAACTGTTAGTTTCTGGGTTTTTAAGTCAATACGCTTATATGATCAAATGATGTGTCATGAGTAGAATGGGGATATAAAGTTACTTTTGTTATCTCATGGTTCCTGTCTTTTAACAAATCATTGGGGTATGACAAGGATAAATTAAGGTAGAAATAAGAGACGGTCTGTTGTGAAGCAGTAGGAACAATCGAGATTTTGAAGACAGACGTACAGTGGATTTCATTTACTGAATAAAACACTTCAGAGAATTTGGAACAAGACTAATATCAGATTTATATAATGTCAACAGTTTTAAGTGTATTCTAATGATCATCATTAAATGATCCAATCTACGAATAATGTGTATTATCACTATTCTGTTTATTATGTACAACCCTATTTGAATTGATGTCACATTTTCATTTACTCTTTAGATAAATATTTGAGTAGTTAATATTCGGTACATATTAGCAAACAGTTCATAATTATTTTGGTAAACTATTGTCATAACTGTGCCACATAAACATTTCGACAATGTGTAATTAAACATGACTAAAATCATTTACAAATGTTTTTGTTTGTTTTTTTATTAAGTCATAACCTTCAAATCGCTGTCGTAATTGTTTTATCAATAAATAAATATAATATACTTGAATGCTATTACGTGTTCACCTTACCCGGTAAACGGAGCGAAGGTCAAAGATGCAGTGACACGATAGGCTATTCTAATCCGTTGTCCCCGGCCCTGCTAACTAGATCAGGAAGTCTTGATGACGCGTAGAGAATGAATTCTACAAGCACTCAGAAAATACGAGGTCACTAAGCACACAAATCAAGCTTATTTATACAATGATAGAAACACCCTTGGGAGGGCCACAAAATAGCGTAATAAAAAAATATTCCGTCAACCAATGACAGCCAAGGATTTCCGACTGGAAAGTGTAAGCTGTAGGTCAACTAAGCGTCTCTTGGAGCGAAAACATAAAATTCAAATTTCCAGGATAAAATTACAAAATTAGGACCTTTTCCAAGTGAGTTCTATGGAATTTAACGTCCTCGACAAAATAAAAATGGATCAAGAAGTTACAACACATGGATAAGGTTCAATACTTTTAAGTTATATCAGATTTTCATTAAAATTTATATAAATTAACATAATTGAGAAAAATATTTTATACTTATTTACCAACTCTTATTGTCTGTAGTTGATTGGATCGTTTAAAATTTCCAGTTTTTAAAAATTTTAAACGATACATGAATCTATAATATGTAGAGGTGTTAATGTTATGTCCCGATAAGCATAATGAATGGTAACTGTGGGATCCATTTGTGGACGCATACTATACATATATTTTTATCATATAATTGTTATGTAACTAAACTATACATATTCATGTCCCTCTTATTATGAGCTTTATGATGACCTACGAACTATATTATATTATACGATTTACCATTCTTGAATTATGTCCCGTCTATTAATCACTACCTCCCTTATTCACAGTCACATTTGGCTAATTCATGCACAAATGTTGTTTCACACTTTATGGTACGGTGTGGTCTGTCTGGTTGGCATATAAAGCTATTATGTTTGAAATAAATGATTCATATCGCAGAGGCTCGGGTTGGTATTCTGGACATAACTGGCTGGGCTGGGCGGAAAGTAGGACCAATGAGGACTCTAGACTGCTCGTACGGGTTTTACGCGTCATTGGTTCGATCGATAATTCACTGCTCTCTAATTGCCGGTATCAATACGTATACATTAACAGGGCACACTGGTCACAAGTTATAACAATTAAATTGTACTTTCAGTTTTGTGTTTAGATAACTTTATTCTTTTAATTCATACAGATAGGTTTCTGAACAAAATTACCTACTAGTGACACAAAACACGTATATAACTTGAACGAGAACAAAAAAATGCTCAGTACTACTTTTTGGTTTGATGTATTGATCAAGAAAGTTTAAAATTAAATTTCTAATGTTTATTGATACTTTCAATATAAAGACTAAAGAAGATATATTTTAATGATTCTTGTAGTATTTATGTTATCTCTAGAGCTTAGACTCTTGGTATACTGCGCACAACTTGAGCATTCAGACGCTAGAACCCTCCAAGTCGCCAATGAGAAGGAATCCTATTATAAACAGTGTCAAATATGATATAAAACTCTCAGGTACTTATAGCTTTTTAGTAAAAGCAAAATCATCATTATAATCATCCAATACGCATACAGTGATCTTTAGCATTTGTCCAATAGGGAATCTACATACCGAGATTCTCGGATGTTCTTTCAAAAGGTGATTGGATGGAAAGTTTCGTTGAGTTCACTCTTGAGCCATGCTCACAATTCGTCAGTGAATAAAACTGATTAATTTACTCTTTAATCAAATTCTGTTTTAATTCATCATGAATAGTGTCTAGAATATAACTACATGTCTAAATTAATACAAAATTCTAGTAGTCCATAATCAGAGATAAATCAACTTTAAATGAAATTAACTTATTGGAATTTTATATTTAATTTAAATATTGACCAGAGTAATCATTGAAATGTCTTAAACAAATCATTGGAAATTACAGTAAAATCTTGTTACTAAGTGTAATTCATCAAATGTTAAGTATATTCAAGAAGTATTACATAATTCTTAAAATAAACAAATCAATTGTTAATTATTAACATTCAATGAATAACAATCCCATCCGTTTCCTCTGTTTTCATGATAAGTTGGAATTAGAGATACGATATATTGTGTAACAATACAATCCTTTGTTAAATTATTATAATAGAAACGTGTACAGTATTCATCCTTTGCACAACTAAAATGAAAAAGCAAAACAAAGCAACTTTACTTGATTCAGTGAATTTAATACGAAAATCTACTTACTACTTAGTAGTATGTAGGTTAAGTAATTTTAAACTTTTGAAAATAAAATCAATTAGATTGTCTATGTTTAATTTAGTTTTCTTTGATTCTTATCATTCACTCCATTCATGACCAATGAATTAATATTTTAAAAGAAGTAGCCATTCATATGTGAATGTTTAAAGTTAATATAAAGTGAGCATTAAAACTGACGAGTCCAGAATAGGACGAAACGCGCATCAAACTGCATTCCACTGCTACCTACTATCCATCATTGCTTACAAAAAGCTTGTGAATTAAGGAAATATCGAGGCATACGCACAGTATGCACATATGCCAATAACAGACTGATCGATTGCAGTTTTAAGCCTCAATGGGAAGATACAAACGAAACAATACGAAGTGAATTTGAGAATTAAAGTGTTGAAAAAATTCTGAATTTTTCTATTAATTCATCATAAATAATTTTTTAAGTAAGAATTAACTTCCTCATTGAAGTATTTCCTATCCTGGTATATAAATTACAAATTAGATGGTATTGACTCTAATGTTGTACGAGTTATATGCAAGATGGATTAGGATTATAGCTTCAGCAGTTTTTTTCTATACTTTCATAGGAGGAAAATTGTCATTGCTTCATTGTTAGTGAATATGCATAATTCAGTTCATCTTTAATGTCACTAGTAAATATTCGAAGAATCATGAATACTTTGAGCAAATATCCTTCTCGTAAAGTTTTTTTCAAGTATAAAGCGTTTATTTCCCGAATCAAAATATTCCCTGAAAAATTGAGTAAAACACTACTAAAAGCAATTTATCATACATACTTATTTGGAAGATCAAGAGTTCAGAGGGTCCCTGAAAACTCTGGGTAACATTTTATCCAATTATAATTTGATAGAAGTTTTTCAGAAACATATGGAAAGTGAAGATCCATCTGTCACTTTGTCGATTGGCTTAATTACCTATCCTGCTACTGCGTTCAGCACGGTTCCAGAATCTTTCAGAAACTCAAGGCCATCTGGAATGGTTTAAATACTTTCAATTTTCTGTAGATAAACTAACAATGCAGTAAAGCGCTCTTTCCACATTTCTTGCTTTTTCTCTCGTATTCATGTCGTGTAGATTTAGCCTGGGGTTATTAGAAAGGTTTGGAAACCGATTCAAGCGTCCGGATAAAAGATTTATCAACACTATAGCTTTCTATGTCTGACTTCAATGTTCTTCAAGTACCGTATAATGGATGTTATCACACCAATCAGTTTCACATCCATGTACTCTCAATTTGATGTGTTCAATGTCTTCAGAATATGCCGAGTTGGTTAAACGTGTCAGGTTTTAGGGTTTGACTAACTGTAATTACAAGTTACAGATTTCTAAGCTTGACCAGTGAGAATTAGTAGTAGCATTATCATTTGACTAATAACACTGTGTATCACTGAACTAGTCACAATAATGCAATTGTAAGACTATGTTTAACCACCACCTCACATCTCAGCATGATGCACGCCATATTGGGTCACTTAGACTACTGGACATATCGCAACTTGATTGATAGAATTTGATCTGCACTAAAAAAAGACCTAACACACATGACATTGGTTACACCCCAATTATCAATCAATTGTACAATTATAATTTGATTTATAATGATATTTTGTGGAGTAATTCAACACATTCTCAGGATATAATTTATAAATCTCTGTATGCACTACTACTTAAGCATAAAGAAATGAGCTGTTTATCTACGTTAGATAATTATTGTGTTTTTTTTATTGAAGCAGTAACACTATCCTGGTAATAATTAATCTCATAATCAAAGAATTTGATACAAATAATAACTATCACCCTTCTGTTAATTCAGTTAAGAATACCTGCTTTAGCAGATAGAAGGAATATTATTTTTTTTTCTCAGAAAATATAACTACTAATTTGATCATCATTAATTTAAGAATAAAATGATTCAACAGATAGAAACATTTTAAACTAACCTGTAAGCACAATATTGTAAACTTGATTTAATATTTTGTATATAACAGCCATCAAAATTTTTATGTGGTGAAAATAACTCTTCACTACTTACATTTAAACATTTTTGAAATAATCTTAATTGAATAAAATCATTATGATTTGTATAATCTTTTATTTCACAAATAATATTAATTTCATCAATTCTATTTGATAAAGTAGTTTGTAATTTACCATCGAAATGATTATAAAATGTATTATATTTACCATGATATTGAAATTGTTCATTATGATTACCATAGGAACGTAAATTTGATTCTAATTCATTCATTAAAATTAATTTCGAATATTCATTTATCCAAAAATTTGTTGAATTTGAATATTTTATTTGTAAAATATTCATTTGATTAATTTTAATCCAAAATGAATAATTAAAAAAATGTTTTATAGCTAATTTATAATTTTGTCCAATAACATTTGAAATTTGATTATTTATTTTACCATAATTTGAACAGAATTGATTAGCTTGACAAAAATTATTTGTTTTATGTATTAAAAGAACAAAATTTTGAATTACACTAATTTTAGTAGAATTTAAAGAAGATAAAGAAATAATTGATGAACAATTAGAATGTTTCTTTATGACATAATAAGATATAAACAAAATAATAAATAAAGATTTCATGTTAAACAAAATAAAATAAAATAAATTGTTATTCAAGTTTATTAAAGAAGAATTTGTTGAAACCTCCTTTATGTGTTCAAAAACAATTTGTACTTACACTTAACCTACCCTGGTAGTACTGAATTACTATCCAGAGTGGTAATCATATTTGATTTTGTGTACTTTAATATTTTTCCTTTGTTATGACTTACCCTTAACCTGTCTAGTTGACCTTTTAATTTTTCATCTATAAATATTCTTTAATAATTAAAACAAAACAAAAAAAGAAATAGGATTTATCTTATTGGTCTAAATTGAAATCAGTATAAATAATAAACTAATTAAAATTGTTTTAATTATTTTTTAAGGGATACATAAACTTGAATCTGATAAATTAAAAGAAAGAAAAATGTTTAATTATGGAAGAGTTATGGAACAAAAATTAATATGACTTGATTTTATTCTATTCGTCTTTTCATAGCTATTTACATACTTACGCCTGTTACTCCCAATGGAGTATGGGCCAATGATCAGCATTCTACAACCCACTCTATCCTGGACCTTTCTTTCAAGTTTTATCCAATTCTTGTTTATTTTCCTCATTTCTGTTTCCATTTCTCAAAGTAATGTGTTCTTGAATCTTCCTCTCCTCCTTTGGCTTTGAGGATCCATGCGAGGGCTTGCCTTGTGACAAAGTCGGATGCTTTCCTCAATGTGTGTCCTGTTCACTTCCAGTGCTTCTTCCTGATTTATTCCTCCACTGAGATCGGGTTCGTTCTCTCGCACAGTACGTTGTTGCTAATAGTGTCCGGCCAACGGATCTGAAGTATTTTGCGTAGACAACTGTTAATAAACACTTGTATCTTGTGGGTGATGGCTTTCATGGTTCTCCACGTTTCCACCCCATATAGTAGAACTGTTCTGATATTTGTATTGAAAATTCCGACTTTGGTGTTGGTTGACAATTCCTTTGAGTTTCAGATGTTCTTCAGTTGTAGATATGCTGCTCTTGCTTTGCCGATCCGCACCTTCACATCTGTATCAGATCCACCGTGTTCATCAATGATGCTGCCCAGATACGTGACGGTTTTTACGTCTTCCAAATTTTCTCTGTCAAGTGTAATTTGATTGGTGTGTGTTGTGTTGTATCGGAGAATATTTCTTTTCCTTTTGTGTATGTTGAGACCTACTACTGCCGCTGAGGCTGCTGCTACGTTGATCGTCTTCTCCTGCATTTGTTGTTGCGATTGGGATAGAAGGGCCAGATCATCTGCGAAGTCTAGATCGTGCAGCTGCATTCTAGCTGTCTACTGTATCCCATGCTTCCCCTCAGATATTGGTATCTTCATGATCCAGTCGATCAACAGGAGTTACAGCTACTTACAACTTATCAAATGGTAACATTAGAATACACATAAGGTTTATGTACTTATAAATAAAATAGAAATTTGTTAGTTGTAGAGTGTTGATTTGGATAAATTTAATAAAAAAAATTGAAAAAGAAAAACAGAAAATTAAGTGTAAATAAAAACGGTGAGCAAAAGAAACTTATAGAATAGAGAACATAGTGGCTAGAATAAAAAAGAATCTTTGATTATGTAATGAAGTAGCTAGATATAAGTTGAGATTGGCGATTTTAAAATAAAGTTATGGATTTAAAGGAAATCAAAATAACGAGTAAGAATCACAAGAATGATATAATCAAATGACGATATTGTTAACAGCAATGGTAAGAAAAGATGAACGACCTTTTTTGAATGTATAAATCCGCTTTAAGAAGTTTGGTTGATATGATGACTTGAGAATAATAGAGTTCGATTATTTATTAATCCCATCTGATAGATTACAGTATATCCACGTGATGTTCTAAATTCTTTATCACCTAGTTAATTCAGAACAACATGACGTTTATAATTTTCGATTCACTTTATCCTCATGACTTTATAACTGAAAAATGGAAGAAAATTGTAGTGTTTAATGAATAAGGTTCTCTTTATGTATTGCAAGCCAACACAGAAACAACAATGATTGTGCAGTACGACTAATTCGCCGTGTATTTCGTTACATGCAATTTACGTATGTATGAGTTAATATGAAATAATTATTAAGAAGCCATAATTGTATTCAAAACTTCAGCTGAATCCTCTAGCCAACTGATAACTTTTTGCAGGCTTAAAAGTCTGAATGGAAGTTTCTCTGATATCCAATACGCCAATTATGTTGTGTATCTATATTTAGTAACCTCTTTTGAGATTATATCTATGTTTAGTACTTTAAGGATAATGAGTAATATAACTGTTTTAGAAATAAAATCAAACATCTCATTTCAGAAGGATTTTTTTGTGTTATACTTAACCAGCGATACTCGAAGCAAAAACAGGTTGACTGAATTTTATGCTTCCGACATAGCCTTTGGAATTTTGGAAAGGTAAGAATGTAGTAATAAAAATGGAAACGTGTGTTATAGCCCAAAGTCGCCAATCAGAAGCAGCGAATTATCGATCGTACCAAGAACGCGTAAAACATGTGCTAGCAGTCTAAAGTCGTGATTGGTCCTGCTTTCCTCCTAGCCCAGCCAGTTAAGTCTACAACACCAATCCAAGCCTCTGTGATATGAATGATTATATTTCAAACATACTGAATTTATATACCAATCAAACAGACCACAACGTAGCATAAAATAGAAAATAACATTTGTACAAAATTCGGCCAAATGTGACTGTGAATAAGCGAGGTAGTGACTAATAGACAGTGCATAATTCAAGAATGGTAAAATGTATAATAATGGTTCATAGGTCCAAATAAACTTTATGAGAAGAGGAATATGAATATAAATAGTTTAGTTATTTAACAATCATGCGATAAAAATATACGTTTAGTATTGGTCCATAAAAGGATCACAAAGTTACCATTTATTATGTTTCTCGGGTCCTAACACGTGACATCATGAGTAATTTATGAATATGCTTATTACAGATATCTCTACGATTATTCCGATACTTCTCATAATGATTGATGAGACAACCGTTACTACCATGATTCCTGAACTCTATAAATTTCAGAAGTCAAACGAAATAGGCAGAACAGTTTATTTCAAACGCATCAAACTAGGTGACTAGCCAGTGAGTGGTGAGGAAGATGAATTAACAGGTGTAGTTCAATAAGCTAACCTATAATGCGCACGAATGGTTCATCAAACTTCTAGGTAATCAATATTTATCTGGTCAAGAGAAGTAAGTGAGTAGACTTCAGCTTGCACTTAATCAAACATACTCATTTACACAAGCTTAAGGATATGTGTAAAATATGTCTAGAAATCATTATGGACTAAAATAACACTTATCTACCAAATGGATTAAATCAAAGACTTACATGATTTGAACATATACAAGCCTAAATGAGGATAAGGCTACTATACACCTCATGTGACTTAAACTCTAACGACAGTTGGCCGTTAGTCCATCCCCACTTTCTGAGTTCCTAGTACACCTTTAGTTATTTAACTCATGATCAAGTTTAAAAGTTTCGATTTCTTATCTATATTAAGTTTATTGACTTTTTACATCTGAAACTGACTCTAGGTAGGGACTATTTATACTATTTATAAAAGAATCACTTTTCCTGTCCTCTAACTACTGTTTAGTATGTTATTTATCTCTTTTTTTCTCTTTAATAGACTGTATTGTTTTCTTTGATTTGTATACAAACTGTGTTAATTTACATTTTTGAAACAGATAGAACAAGTCATGCCGAATAGCCCACTTGTTCTGATACTGGCCTAACTAAGACTTTGTATTCAACATCCTTAGAATTAGCCTATCATTACATCTGTAAATAATTGCCTTCTTCACTTGCACTAATGATTCGTTTTCGTAAGCATCAGCTGAGTGCTCCATGTCATTGCATATCACTGACCAATCATCACTCTACACACAATAGGAAATTCGGTAGGACTATATTTTATGGACGGCCTTTGAACGAGTTTTTAAATGACCTTGAAACTATTAACCAATCAGAAGAGAGTTGGCATAATGTAAAAACATAAAAAACTTATGAATTACAGCGGATATTCTTCTTTTGCATGATTTAAAAGCTTGTCAAGGTTAGATAAAGGTTCAGATGTCCTGAAATCATAGTGCATAGGGTTAGGGTTAGGGTACAGGGTTAGAGTTAGGGTTAATGTTTAGGGTTAGGGTTAGGGTGCACAAACCCAAGTCTATGGAGGCATCTATACGCTTTCCAATCATCGGTATATATTGTACTGCCAGGCTGCACGTACTGTAACACCATAAAAAGCCGCAGTCCATGTTACTGGTGACTTCATTATCCAATTCGCAACAATTATCATGATTTGCTTTAGTCTGAGTCGTGATCGCTCAAAGAAGGTGCCAGTTCGAGCAGATTTTTTCCTCCAACATTTAGCACAACGAAATATAATGCCATCACGGTAGTCTGCACATCAAGCTGCAGTCATTTGATTGCCGCAATCACAGATACAGGAACTTCTTAATAGTCCCATCTGTTGTGGTCGCTCAACAATCACCTCTTCTCTAAAATCTACTGTAAAACGATCGAATGTGAGCATTTCGCATTGAACTTAGCGTCATGACCTTAAAATTCCTCACACGCTTCTGATTGGCTCGTCCAAAAGTTAGAGTCTTACCAGAAATTCATTCATAAAGTTCTTCAACATTACAATTTGTCAGATGGACAACAAACACTTACGAGTTCCGAATAGGATGGAGTGCATATCCTGGATTCGCGTGACAGTGATATCCCATTTATTTCATACAATCACTGACGTGTTTATATCAAAATCTGTCTAATCTAGTAAACGTTTAATTTAATAGATAATTATAATCAGTATAGTAATTTCAGACAACAATAAGAAGGAATAAGAGATCAAACTTTTAGTGTCACGGTTCATATACATAAACGTTGATGAGACCAACTGAAGTTGAAATAAATTGAATTGGTTCACAGTTCACAATTTTCCTTATTTTCTGTTGTCTAACACATTA